TTTAGTTTTGCCAAAAATATGTAGGTTTCTTGAATTTAGGTGGAGCGATCTTTGTACCGAGGTTATTGACACAATTTTCGGTATACTCGTATGCCTTTTCAATGCTAATATTTTTTCAGAATTCCTCAAAATCCTTCAGTCTACCTCTATTTTGCAAAGACTGTCGCCAAGACATAGACATATGTTTCAAAATGTCCGAAACTGAGATACCTAGATGCATGGAAGCTCCAGATATGAACGATCCTACAGGATGTGGAGGGTTCTGTCAAATTAATACCCATTTCTGTCAAACGTTGGACACTAAGAGAAAAGTCTATCAGTGTCTGCCGCTCAAAAATATTTTATGGTGTCCAGAGGGGTTTTTCAGTTGTGGAAACATGTGCATATCTGAGAGGAAGAGATGTAATGGGTTGATAGACTGTTCCAATAAGGCTGATGAGGAGAAATGCGGTAAGATCTTTTTTGAGGAGGTGATACTGTCACCTACAAATGCTTCGCCAAAGCTTAATACACCTTGATCCGTAAGTAGAAAAATGCAAAAAAACCCCTAAGTCTTATGGCCCAGAATTGAAAGAGAAGGGGTGAATGTCGCCTACCATCTTACAAAAATTGTATTTTATTTTTTATTTTATTCATTACAACACCCTACAGTAAATACCAATTACAGGGCGAGGAAACACAGAACATAACACAGATATAAAAGACAATAATAAGTAGTAGACTACAAAGTGTAAAAGATACATGCTGGTTACTTAATGGTATTTTTTATGTCCGCAATTCTGCAGTTAAATATGTCAATCCTGTTACTTGCAGAATTGTAATTCCTGCACATCACATGTAAAGGGGAATAGTGTAAATAATTTGTTCGTGCCGCAGGTAGATAAAACGTAACGTTTTGTCGGGATATCAGCCTAGGTACGTTAAATGATAACTGACCCAAGAAAGCTAAATCATCACTAGCATTATTGACCAATTTAAACAGAAAAATCACTGACTGGCAAGTGCGCCTTGCTTCAAGACTGCTGATTAGATGTTTTTCAAGTAAGGAATCATGAGGTATACCTATGGGCGGGTAAACGCCATCCACTGTCAGTGACAAATATTTTAAGAAACGTCTTTGAACACATTCAAGCCTACTTATATGAATATGATGCGGATTCCAAATTAGCAATGCATACTCAAGCTTTGACCTAACATATGCATAATACAGCAACTTCAAGGTGGTACTCTGAGTGAAGTCACGGCAGTTTCTTACAATAAAGCCGTACATGCGGTTTGCCTCGGAAATTTTGCTGTCAATGTGTTTGACGAATGTTAGTTGGGAGTTAAATGTCACGCCTAAGTCACATAATGTTGAAGTCCTCTGAATAGAGCTACCTGACAGAGGATTTTTCTTCAAAGTGTAAGACATTACGTAATATTTATTGATGTTTAATGGCAGATTGTTTTGTGAGCACCAAGCATCTAACCTGACCAGATTTTCTAAAAGTTGATCACAGTCTGATTCATCAACTACACGACAAAACATCTTCAGATCATCAGCATAAAGTAAACAATTCTCGCCAACAGCATTAACTATGTCATTCACAAATATGACGAACAATAAAGGCCCTAGGTTACTGCCTTGTGGCACTCCGGAATTGGCTACATACTTCGACGATCTGATGCCATTAAACATCACAAATTGATTTCTTCCAGTGAGGTAGGACTTAAATAGTTGTACTAAAGGATCGGATAATCCATGAGATTTCAGCTTATGCAATAGCATCCTGTGATCAACTCTGTCGAAAGCCTTGGAGAAGTCTGTGCAGACCACATCTGTTTGTAATCCTCTGTCAATGTTTTCTGCTATGGTCTATGTGAAGTTCATCAGATTTGATACTGTTGAGCGCCCTTTCATGAAACCATGTTGTTGAACACATATTTTTCTGCTGACATGATGATATAGTCTGTTATATATTAATATCTCTAGAGCTTTTGAAAAATTGCACAATATTGATATAGGTCTAAAATTTGATACATCATTCCTACTGCCGTTTTTGTGTATTGGACATACTTTAGACAACTTCCATAATTCTGGAATTGTGCAGGTGGTAAGACACAAGTTGAATAAAACAGTCGAAGGACACGCCAACACAGAGGCACAGTCACGCAAAATAAAAGCTGGTACATTATCCGGTCCGGTAGTCATCTTAGGTTTTATTTGCTTCAAGGCTAAGACAACTTCATCCTCCTCAAATCTAGTAATATTGAGTAGTAGTTCATTGCACATTAAAAAGTCATCAGTTTCTTCGGTCGCTGATGAAGACGAGTAGTATTTGGAGAAGTTATCCGCAAAAGCATTTAATATGTCGTTCGGTTCCAAAAGTTCATTACCATTGTAAATCATCCTACTTGATAAGTTTGTTGATTTTCGCTTAGAATTTCAGAAGCCCCAAAATGTATTCGAATCTCTTTGTATTTCGTTCTCAGCTTGTCTGACATATATTTTGTATGCTTCATCTGAATCTATCTTAAATAGCGTCAAGTAGCTTGACTCTGCACTTCCCACGCAATGTTGTCATCAATTCATAAAGGATAATTTTCGGCACAAGTTAGCCCCTATAAGAAACAAGTTAGAGACAAACAAACTGGATCAAGCCAAGCCAAACAAATTTTGGAGACTTTTATGATCTGATCCGATCCTGTGAAAATTGGCTACCCCCGTCCTTCAAAAAGTTTTGGAGCCAGGTACAATTTCACAAAATGTTATCTCTTGTTGATGGATGTACTCCTCCCGGCTGAAGAAAATTCCTGCGGGATGAATGTTGTTATAAGTAACTTCCGGATTGTGAATCAGCGGACATACACAAGTCGTGACCAAACATGAAACATCATACACAGGACCGCATTTTAAGGGGGTCTTCTATGTAACATTTTTTCCTCGAAAAAGGTAGGGGGTTTTGAAGTTTAAAAATAAAAAAACATTTTTTTAACTTCCTTCAAAACCATCAACTGGAATGAACTGAAATTTGGTTTGTAGATTTACCTAAATATTGTCCACATTCAAAAGTCTACTCAAAATTAACGTGCACCAGTGACGGAGATACAGGGGATTAGTGGCAATATTTTTCCAAATAAAAATAGTACGCCACTGTTTTTTGGCGAAACGCGCAGTTTTTCGAATTTTACCTTTAATTTGCTACAAATAATAACTCTTGTTTTCTTTCCTAGAGTGCACTGTTTTCGTAAAAATAAAAGGAATTAGATCATTCATGAAGAGCCGAGATACAATTAGTTTCAAAATAAAATAGTAGGCCTTGATACCAACTTGACGTTTCTTGGGAGATAGTTTGTCAAAGTTATGTGTTATATGGTTGTTATCGTGGCTGTAGTTTCTTTGGGTTCCCCATAGTAGTCGCGGCGTCCTGGCATTTAGGCTTCTGCATGCGCGACTGCTTCGGTAAAAAAATACCCAACATCAAAAATTGAGATTTACCCTCCGTCACCACAAATTTTTGACATCCGCAAAAATGTTTCTGAAAATGTTCGGTGAAACGTTAAAAATGGAGTTTAAACGAATTTAATTTTTCAGCCTGTGATTTGGAAACACATTTTCATTGTGGCAATCAAACATCATGCTTGGAGCTTTCGAAAAAGTGTGACAAACAAGTAGACTGTTGGGACCAATCCGACGAAAAAGGATGTGACCAATGTAAGACTTTTTATTTTTCGTTTTGCGTTCACTCAATTATTATTTATACTAGTTTAATTCGGGTTTTCAAAGGAAACGATCCTACAACTGTTCTGAACTACCCTCGGAACTACCAGTGAACAATCGCAGTACGGATTGAAATCAGAACGGGTTCTGGGATAGTTCCTTGTAGAACCCAAACAGGGGTATTACTAATTTTTTTCTCATTTTGACTCACATTTATTTTCAGATTATTCTGCTTGTCAAGAAAATGAGTTACCTTGTAGCAACGGACTTTGTATAGAACAACAACTTTTTTGCGACGGCCAGTCAGACTGCGAAGACGGTTCAGATGAACCGGAAGGCTGCCAAACATAATTCAATGATTTTAAAATTGACGCCAAGAGAACCTACTCAAGATTTTTATCTATGACAGAGACTAAACGACTAATATAAGTACGCCACTGGTAACACAGATTTATTTCAGGTTTTTTGTAGGTCCATTATAATGCCTGTCTATACCTTGATATAAAGATATCGGAAACTTGACGATTTTTCACAGCGGCTGGATCTAAAATTCCAGGGTCCCTCAGAGTAAACTTATTTTTTTTTTAGAATTATGACGCCCCTGTACCCATTCTCTCTTCTTTACTACTAGCATTAGCGCCTAAATTTAGATGTCATGGGCTCTAGCCGTATTTTTTGGCCTTCGGGGGCCCTAAAATGTTTTGCGTGTGGCCTGGCAGGAATATTACGTAAAAATCGGTCGGTATAATAACAATTTGTGTACTAACTAGTCGCTAGTCCACTCTACGCGCACTCTCTGTGAACGCCACCTAGACAGGAATGCAACAACGACCTATAGCTTAAGCCATAAGTGGCCTCCGATAGTGTTATCTCTGAAGCAGAAGTTACATCAGATCAGAACCAAACCATTTAGCCCAACTCCCTCTAGGCAACACGCACAGAACATGAAGAGCATGACGGCTAGTTCTAAATTGTCATCTTTTGGAAAAACCTACATAATATTAAAAATCGATTTTAACTAAGAGCAAAGGTCCACCGAACCGCTCTGACGAATAGTATTAAAAATCGATATAACGTCACCTTTTGAGTAGCATGGTAATACAGGGTCCTTAGATCCGCCACTAGTTTACAGTAAAAATAAAATTTTACTTCATTGGAATCTTAGATTAGTTCAAGGAATTTGAACTTGTTTTGCTTTTCAACTCAAGAGTATGGTGTCCTGTGTGTTGTTACTATATGTAGTAATTCTTAGTGTTCCCTATGAAAGCCAACTATGATGAATTATTTTTTTAAATAAAAGTTGTGTGTAAAATTATATTGTTTTATTAAAACACGTCAAATAAATAAAAAATAAAATAAAATGACACCTATTAGAGGCTACAGATCTTCACAGAATTCAGAAAGGAATTCTATAAGCAATGAAAATTTGCTTGCGTCGCCTCCCAGAGATTTGTGGTACTCCGCAAATTTTTTGAGAAACAGAGAAACATTGCTCAAAGTCACCTGAAAAGAAAAGTTATGCTACATACGAGTAAAAGGACTATACATCTGAATGTTATAAAATTACGACTCTTTCATAAAAGAAACAAAATGGGTCTATGCAAATCAGCAATTAAATTTTCAGCAAACATTTTTACCCGCTGTAAAAATACGTTTTCTTAAAAAACCTCATAATCATAGTTCAAAAATTAATTATCAAAGAGTCACCATCTATGAAGAGTGAGTCCCTACAAAATTAGAAAAGATATATCAAAATAAAAAACAAAATTCAGTTTCTTAAAAGAGTCGGGTATCTATTTCCATTACTTGAAGAAGAAGAAGAAATAACGTTTCTTAAAAAACCTCACACATAATAGTTCAAAAATAAATTATCAAAGAGTCACCATCTATGAAGAGTGAGTCTCTACAAAGTTAGAACAGATATATCAAAATAAAAAAGAAAAAATCAGTTTCTAAAAAGAGTCGGGTATATATTCCTATTACCTGATCCCATTCCTTTTTATAAAACCCTGTACACTGGCTTTCTAAATTTTTACTTGAAATCACTTTTTCTTTCACCAAAATAGCTGCAAATCTGGCAAAATTAGTCCAAATTTCTTCATTGTTACACCCTTGCGCTGTTAGCATTACATTCCTTGGGCAGAGTAAATTTTTGAATAAATTGTCAGTGTTTGAGTAGTAACATCTCCATACTGAGATGAACAACTGGATCATGCTGTTTTCAGGCATAATGTCTGTTCTATAGACAACTAAAATGAAAAATAACATGGTTTTACTACACTCTAATCAGTTACTGTTAGGAATCGAACCTACATCTTTTGCAATTCAGGCAGACACATTGGCTACTTTCCTATTTTGCCACGGTGAATTCGTGAAGTATTATACATAGGTATATGTAGATATAAGATATCATTATACGAGGTGTGATGAAAAATATGGATAATAATCATTCAGCTTACATGAAATTTAAATTATTTTTGGTAAAAGTAATCTCATTGGCTAGCGACGTACTTATCTCAACAGTGATTACATGATTGGAATCATTTCTGTAAAGCTTTTTTTGGAAGTGCCTACAACCTTTTCGAATTTCAAAATGGGGTCAAAACGTTTACTTCAAGCTCGGTTTTTATTTTTGGAAAGTGCCCGAACCGCATGGTGCTAAATTCGGAAAATAAGGCGGATGTGGGCAGTCATATTTTGTTAGCAAAAACTTGCGTGCACTGTCGAGACGAAAGAGGTAACCGTGGTGCACTTTTCGTGTCCCTTTCTCTGTACATCGTCTCACAAAGATTGCAATAAGCCCTTTTAGTATTTGGAGTTTACAGAACTCTTATCGCACTATGCCCTCACCATAAAAACAATTAGTTTGACTGCGACTGACGTACCTTCTTGGGGAGAGGACATGCACTCTTCCATTGATAACTTTGTACCTTTGTTTCAGGGACACAGCCACTCATTTAGCTTTCATCTACAGTTATAATTTTGGCCATGAAGTCTGAATTTGTATCAGGACGACCCTTCAATCATCACTGTTCACTTCTTCGGCAAACTCTCGAATCGTCAATCGACCGTTTGGGCGATCGTATTTTTGCCACTTTTTCTAGGTTTTCGTCGGTTTTTGAGGTAGAATGACGACCTTCGGCATTGTTCAACCGACTCATTCCTGCTTTTGAGTTACTCTTACCACTTATAAATAGTATTCAGAGTCACCACATCAACACAGTACACTAGTTTTAACATTTTATGAGCTTCTTTGACAGTTTTTTGTACTTACAACGAAATTTCATGTCAACACGTTCGAAAATACGACCTCACACTTTTATTTCAGGCAGCTAAAAGACAGATCGAAATTCGTTCAAATTTACTACAAGGAAAGACACTATTACACGTGCTACTTTGAATGGATGTAAACACAGAAAAATTCATTCACCATATTTCTGATCACACCTCATAGAGCATTACTGGAAACTTACTTAAAAGTAATGCTAGATCTACGAGGGTTGTACAAATACAAGCAGCAATGGTATCATTTACGTCACATCTACCATTTAATGTCCTATTTGCATCTTGTAATAGTATCTTTAAAGAATCGGCACTGACATCTTTTGGGTTTTCCAGTATGTCTACAGACATTAACTGAAAAAAGAATACATATTTTAATTGGGTATCTTTAGGTGGTATACATTAATCAATGCCTGAAGATAAGAAAAAGGGATTGAAGATCCTAGCGCCATCTATGAAACAGTAGCCGAACGAAACACTCTTAGCTTTTTTCAAAGTAACTTCTAAATTGTTTTTTGCCTGTATCTAGTAGATCCCTTTTTGGATGCCGGAATTCAGTATATGGTCGGTTATTTTCAGATAGGAGGCATTAATCAATGGTTAAAATTCGAGTGTAAAACTAACTTACCCTTATTTGCTCCAAAATATCAGCAGCACTCTTCAAGTCATCATTATGTGTTTTACCGTTTCCTTCAGGAGGTAAAGCAAAAACAGGTTTATCACTTATATTTTGACCATTTTGGTCCAAAAATTTCTGTGTTGTCATGTTGAAATCTTTCGCGAAAATGTTCGTGTTTAGCTGGGTTACCATCCATTGCCTTACCTGAAATCCGAAGTTGATACACGTTATTTTTTGTTTGGGTAGTATCATATCACATAATACGCAGTCCAGAATATGTGAGAAATCTCTTAGATCCTGAGACTTATGTATCTATTGCTTATTACACTGGGCGCAGGGGAAGGCAAGTTATTTTATGAGCACTGTCTTAATCTTACCCGATCTTTACACATTTTTGCAGTTAAAGATACGCAGGCATTAGTTGTCTCCTTCAGAGTATCAATAGCTAAAAGATTTTCAACTGATATAGGAATTTTTTCTTCCATTATCTGTGTTACTTCTTTAGAACAATTTCCTTTTAGAACGACAAGGTGGTTTTGCACTTGCTTAGACACTATGGCCTTCAGTGCTAACTGAAAATTAAAATAATGTTCTTAGAATCACCTTGAAACCAATTTTTTTTAATGATTACCTTTTGATTGTCATTGAAGTTCCCATCTGACACATTTTGTTCCTTTTTCCACCCTTCAAGAAATGTTTTTAGAGACTCTGAAGCCTGTTTCTTATAATTCGGTACAACCTCATTACAAATATGTTTAATACAAGCTGAAGCTATACGTTCGCTGACAAATTCTATTGTTTTTCTCATAGATACTGGTTGGGTGTTAAGGAACGAATCTTCCAATTGTTGCTAAAAAATAAAAAATAAGCATTTTCTCATCACAAATAATAATCGTGCTTTTGTTCTTACCTCAAATTTCTTTTTGTGAACTTGTTCAAACGACTGCACAGCAGTTACTGGAGTTATATGTTTAACGGTGACGTTACTTTTGGAGCTGGTTGATGTCAAAAGTTTCTTTATTTCATCTAAATACGGACAAAATGCGTACAAGATATCTTGATCAATAATGTTAATATCATCAACACCTGAAGAACCATGTTGGCTATTTTGATTTTCATAGTTACTAACACAGAAGTGGAAGTATTCTAAGTCTGGAAATTGTGGCAGTTCAAACAGCCAACCTGAAAAATATTTTTAGATAGGATTCGAAAAAACAAGTTAGTTCTTATTCCAGTAGGTGAAACACGTTGCTTGTCTTAATCTTCAAATTTTGGGATATACTGCTCAACGTGTTCAATGATGCACTTTACTCATAAGGTCCATTCAACTCACCTAAACATGACTTCATGAGTATAGAGTTGTAATCGAAATCTCCCTTTTTCTTGAATGCATCTTTATATATTGAAAAAAGTATCCTATAACATGACATGTAGTAAGGCAGCCTTAACGTAACATAGTCTAACATAGACAGGTACTTTGTAATCCATGGTATTGTCAAAACTCTGTAATTCTGCTGCACAGATTTTTCCAAAATGCATTTGATATCTAGAGATGGCAGTTGCTGAAATATTGAATAGAACATCGACATCTATTAAATACTAGCATTAACATATTCCATCTTGACATTCTAGAGCACGATATATTTTGTTTCGTTTGTTGAAAATTCAAGAATAACGCAATATACAGTGTGATTCACAAGTGGTGATCAAAAATGAAACATCATACACAGGACCGAATTTTTAGGGGGGTCTTCTATATAAAATTTTTTTGTCGAGGACTGCTTTAAGAAGATACATGGTGTTGAAGTTTAAAAATAAAAGACAATTTTTTTAATATCTTCAAAACCGTCATACGGTCCTGTGTATGATGTTTGATTTTTGGTCACGACTTGTGAATCACCCTGTATATAATCGGCCCATTTCAACACACCGAAATATGATTAATTTGTTAATAAAGCTTAGTGCATGCAGCTGCAGTAGATTCAGTATTCCCCTATTCCGCGGATCTCTACATCTTAATAATATAATACCAATTTGCTAACAACTTCTATCATAACAATTAATTATAAAAATAAAAAATAAACATAAGAAAGCGTGAACTAATAACATCAATTGATTAGTACCTGTTGCCTTATCTTCACTTGCGTAGCTAGCAGAGTCTCATTATATGCAATATCAGATTTGTATGGCAAAGCCTGGATAAATCCAAGAAACTTTGCTAAAATTCGCAATCGCTTTACACATTCCAAATAAGATTTTTTCGTAGGTGCGTCTACATCCGCATCTGAAAAAACATTGAAACACTTCTGAGTCTAGATAATGAAAGGCGAAATTTTACGGAAGGAGGACGCACACTCTGACAAATACTATTGACAACTTTGCCACCCATACTTCTACCTAGTACCTACCCATCAATTTAAATTTTGATATGTTTGTATTAGAATAATATTGCCACTTTGCGAGAACTCACGAGATATCATGTGAACTCACGATTCGTGAGCAATATGTAGAACTTTGCTCATGTATTTACAAATGTACCACCATGTACCATAACTTCACATGATGTGGCAATATCGTGTTTCCACCTAGAATCCTTCATCAGCTTTATACCAATAACAGGATTTTTTACCAACCTGACTGTTCAATTCCTGTACACATAAATTTCGTCTCATTCAGCTCTACAATTTCAGAAATAAACATGTCTGACAAATGTTTGTCAAAAACATGGTTGGCAGCAACAACAATGAAATCTTTATAGAATTCTTGATAACCAGTAAACAGGGGCGGTGAATTAAGCCCACTGGAAGGCTGTTTTGTGATCAGGCGATTTTTGAGTCGACTTAGTTTATCTGCATCTATGTTGGGAAAAGATGAGAATGAGGGCAGTTGTTCTTCTACAAGTCCTTCTTCCTGAAAAAAAAAAGGAAATAAGCATGTTGATACTGCACTGGCCATACGAAGCTGTTATTAATTTACAGAAGAATGTTTTGCCTAAGCTAGCAGCTTTTAAAAACTGGAAAAAATCCTGTTTTCTGGACAAATTTGGAGCACAGGCATGGAATCTGTCATCTGTTTCACTCTAAATGAGAACATATAAAATATATTTACCTTCAAAGACTTTCCACAGTTGCTTACCAGCTGTGCCTTGAACAATCTTGATAAATGCACAAAGTTAATGGGTTCAGAACACAAACTCAGCAGACTTTTTATTTTCCCAGAAAATGCTATGGAAAAACTCCAATTTGGACTCAAGTGATTGTTTTCCCAAATTCTCAAAATGTCATAGAACAAATCTCTCTGTTTTCTGAATGCATGGAATGTCACACCACTGGGAAAATTCTCCCTATTGTCTGTATCAAGATTAAAACATATATTTGTGTGGTGATTATTTTCTAAAACATCCATAATTCTATCCTGTTTGTTCCTCAATATTTCCTTCAATCTGCAGCAGAAATCTGGTGCCAATAGGCAAAGTCTTTGGTTCAATAAGAGGAGCCTTAATAAGGATCTTTCATAGTGTTTTAAAATATCAAACTGAGACTGTAAACATTTCACAGCAAAGTACACAATGTTATTTATAGATAAAAAATATTTCTTACAACTATTACTTCGAGTATTCTCTTCATCTTTAAAACTATTTATCAATAATAAAGATATAATAAAGTGAATCTCACTAGTAACATTCAAGACCATCTTATTGTTTAAAATTGTGATATAAACACTTGCTATCCTATCTATATTTTCTTTAAATACAACCTTTTTAGCATCAAATTCAATTTCACCATTGCTACTTGATATAGCAGGATTTAGTTTTACAGAAGCAAATGCTGTTTTATCACAGTCTTTCTTCTGAACAATTTTTAATCGTTCCTCCATTAATTTGTTTCTACTGATATTTTGATTTTCTAATGAACTGTCATTTGTAATAAAATTGAAACTATTTGAAGATTGCTTAAAACCATCATTTGGCGAATAGCTGTTCAAAATTGTTGGTGTAATCCTCTTTTTTTCTTCAGCATTTTTAGAATGTCTTTTTTTGTTAGACAGTGGTCTTGCATTTATGATATAATCTCCAAGACACATGGACGAGTTCTTTTCAATGCTGTTACGCTTGTACTTGGGGCTACTAAAACTACAGTCTTTTTTGTACAATGGTGAAACTGGACTTGCATAGCTGCTTTCTAATAATGAATTTGATAGTGTTTTTTTAACTTTTGGAGTACTACTGTTCAAACTGTTGTCAGTAGAAATTGTGCATTTTTCTACAGGAGGATAACTTGTTGATTTAACAGGAGTTGACTGTGGACTAGGGCGTTTTCTCGCTATTGGTTCTTGTTCCTTGGTTTCTAGAGAAACGCCTTTTTGAGGTATTTCAGTAATCTTAGTAGAGCTGTAACAATGCCACTTGTAAGCTTAAATATACAACTTGCTGCAGAAAAATCTTACCAAGGAATTTCTTCATGCACAAAGTTTAAGAAGTAAGTCAGAAACTGCACTTTGCTACATCTAAATTTGTTTATTTCACTGATGTGTTTATCCTTAAAGAAAATGAGGTTAATTTCACTTAACTATAAAAAAACTCGTTATTTCACCTGTGACAGCCATTCTATAAGTAAATCAGGGTTTACTTCACCTGAAGCAATCTCATTTAATAAATTTTCAGACATGATTTTAAATGAATTTAAACAAAACAATTTATTTCATCACACAGTCCCACATTTTTAAAAATGACAAATGACATGAAGTGCCATGAACCGCGCTATAAAATGACATATAAAGGCGAGCTTACACACTACGTCTTATTGTACGTGGCGTGTAAACAGCATAACGTACCAGTCATCAAGTTCGCTCCAGTTGTTTCAATAACAAGACGTGGGAATACTGGCTTCTTTTCAGAAGCCACTCCCTTGACCATCTTGTATTTCCCTTTTCCTTTCAGTCGTTGTATCCTTATAGCTGAAAAAATAAACGAAAGCAGCCGTGTTTCCTCCATAAAAAAAATCTCTCAAAAAAATTCACTGTACAAAGTTCACACAATTCAAGAGTCTAGATTGGAACTGTGATAGAAAGCGGAAGGGAAAACGCGTAGAGTGTATACAGTGGACAAAATGTACGTTTTGTATGCCCGACAAAACGTACAATAAGAGGTAGCGTGTAAATCCACCTTAACAGAAATGTGACAGACATGAGGGTACAGACAGAGTAATACTGGTTGCCTATAAGAGATCCACATGTACTAAACCTATTTTCAAGATGCACCATCCACTCTAAATAAAAATTTATCTTTTTGGGATGGTTTCTAATTACTGCGATAGTCGGGTTCCAATTTATATATGATTCGTTGCAGGTGAACGCTTTAAGTGAAGTTTGAGATACCTTTGCTGGTACAAATTTTGGTACTTCACTATCATCAAATAAACAATAATATTCTCTATTCTAAACAAGTTTTTGACCTTCGATTATGTGCAAAAAATATAAAAAAATAATTAGACGTGGAAATGGAATGCTTAATTACCTCATGTGTTTTCGACAGCTTCCACAACTTATTATAAGATGACGTTGCTTATTTTCCTCCTATAGCACCCGTATGATATTACAGTTAAAAGTTAAAAAATATTTCTGATAGGAAAAATGATCAATTACTTTATTAACAATTTTGTTTCTATAAAATCTGCTGAGGATTTCTTGTAACTCACGATACTTCAAGGCAATTCAACCTCAAATATGTAATTGTCCTTCTGGGCAATTGCACTTTTTGCCTTTCAATAAAAAATACTGAAAATAGTCTAATATGGCAGGTAGGTGGGAGAAGTTTGGTAGAGTTGAACCCCCTTTTGAATCAAACATGAATAAAATTGTAATTGAGCATTAAAACTTGGGCTCAAAAACGAATGCATCACATTTTTTTGCTACTACATAGCTTAGATAACAATCAGCTACCACACGAAACTCTCATGTCAGTGTCAAAAACAACCGCGACTTCGGCGGAGAATATCGCATGTAAATTCCCCTAGTACAAGGATGAAAGAGCTTTATTTGGTGCTCAGCAGAAGCCGGTGTTGCCGCGTAGCCTGTCAACAACTCCAGCTATATAATCTAGAGTGGTTTGTGTGAACGTGAACCAATAATAAAAAGAAGTATGTTTGTCCAAAAAGAAGCGATGAAATATTGATGACTATTTATTTATGAAAAAGCTTTAAAATAAATTTGTATTGGTTGAAGTATTTACAATAATCCGAAAAATATTTACTTTTGCATTGCATTCACATTCACTGAATCACAAGAATTTCTGTGTCCTTATTGTGGAAAAGAACGAGAGCAAACCACCAGCTAAGAGACAACCAACACAGTCAAACCTGACAGTTCTGACGATTCTTCAGCTAGGATGCTTCTACATGCAGGGCATGTAGGCAACGCTACTCACTTGGAACAAAATATGCCGCTCTCCATAATGAATAATGAAATCACAAACATACCTTTTTTAATGGAATATCCTTTTCTTATACTTCGCTCACTCTAAACAAAAATTATACGCAAACTATAAATCAGAGCGGCCAGCCTTAGAGAGAATTTACCGAAGTCCTGTTTTGTTTTGAATGCGCGAAGAATAAGAAACTATGTGCAAATGGTTGTCTTTTACTGATGAATATGTTTCGTAAAACTCTCATTTAAATGTTCATGTGGGCTCGGAATAAAACCTGAGGGTTTATTATTTCTTGCCAAACAGTTAGATTAGGGGCCCCGAAAAAAGAATCTCGCCTTGAAGAGAGACCACTGATGCAGCCGCAACCCCCATTCCACCACTCTTCAATTTTCAATCGCCCCTGGGCCCCTTGATATAATTTGATATGGCGCCACGTTGGCGTTACTGCTTTAAAGTGCAGAGAAACCCAAATATCACTTTATCATTCAATAACATTTTGGAGAATATATTAACAATAACATTCGATTTTCGTGGTACGGGATCTTGGATTATTTATCACTTTTATCTCAAATGGAAAGGGTACGTTTAATATTCGTTGTCTTGGGAATTCCCTTTACACCGTTATGGACAGACGACTCGTATTGAAATACGTTCATTGTGTTATAAATATAGTGATAATGTATATTCAAAATCAACGCTTGCAGAATGACTAATCAATATAAACATGGTAGTTACAAGCGTACATGTTCTATGTCTATGTAATATAATTTTGCACTGCAAACAAAATAAAAAAAATGCAACTCGTATATCATTGTAATGAATAAGCAGTGCTTTTCAAAAAGGCGGGGGGCTTTTTTTTGAAGTGATGATGTGATAGGTGAAACTTTCAAGGCGGCAGCGGCTAGGCGGCATCTTAGACAATATTTTCAAAAGTAATAGTAACGCAAAATAATGGCGTTTGAATTTTTGAAATTGGAGTGACGCCATGTTTTATTCGGGTTATACGCTCCGAAACAGTGGGGATACCGAAAATGACAATGTGTCAAGATTGTTAGGTTTTATTTTTTCATCGTTTTTGTTTTTTTTTGCATTAAACTCACATTAAACCAATACCAGACAATGGAAGATGATAAAAAACTGATAATGTTATGCCCCAGAGTCACAACATACACTTGAGATGTTCCTGAATAATCAAGATCACAAGAGAGTGCAAGAATGCAGGTTCATACCACCTTGTAGTTGGCTTCATCTATAACTAGACACTTTGAAAATAATTTTGAATGTATACTAAATATGAATTCGACACATTTGTCCAGAAGCTTCACAATAAAAATGCAGACCTCTAACGTGTTGCGCGATCATTCTAAAAGCATCATCAGGCATCAAAATGTTGATTAATTGGAACGTCACGTTCATCCAAATGAGATCCAAAATGGTCACGAGGCATTATCAAACCAGGCAGTTCCCGATTCAGAGGAGCTTTTCTTTGCTCTACTCGCTTATATGCATTTCTACCAGAAGCATTTATAGCTGAGGTTCTATGCCAGTAAGCATATCTCGGGAATCCCTGAAGATGCGTTCCGCCTTCAAGCATAGATAAGCAGTGTTGTCATATGTGTTCAAATCTAGTTTGACTAAATTTTGAAGAGAATCCGAAAAAGTAAACGTCATCAAAAATAAACAACCCCCCCTTTTAGTGCTTACGTAATACTTGAATATCGCGCTGTGAAAGATAGTATTTAGTATTATAAAATATTTTTTTGGCGGAGGCCTCATAATGGCCGAATCTGGTCGAAGCTGAGCCTAAAGCATAGGTCCGACAGTACTTTATCCTTATCTTTATCTTTATTAGCCACTTAGATACAGAATAGTACATGTTGTGAAAAAAAGGTATATAATATAAATAAAATGTATAAAAATATAAGTAAAAACCAAAATAAATATAACAATTCATATAAATGCTTAATTCCATATTTACGTACTCAAGGTTGTACATTCCATATACTCACTTATGTTATACAAAGCATTTTATGCTAATAATTTTTTAACTTTCTAAATCGAAAATAATTACTGATTTGCTGTATTTCAGCTGGTAATTTATTGTATAATTTGATGCAGTTATAGATTTTTTTAAATGTGTCGTGGTATGTGTATGAATGATCTTTAAATTTTAATTTCATCATTTAAAAATTTCTCTGTATGAGTCAAGTGGTTTCATTCGGAAAATTAATCTGATGATTCTTTTTTGGTCAACAAATACTCTAGTAATTTCGGAAGATTTCCCCCATATCATAATGTTATAAGATATTTGGCTATAAACCAGCCCATAATATACATTAATAAGAGCTTTTTCATTTAGAATATCTTTAAGTTGTAAAATGGCAAAATATATTCTACTTAAATCTTTACATACGTGATCTATATGATAATGAAAATTTAGTTTACAATAAAAATATGTGCCAAGTAATTTACAAGAATCCAATAAAATAAGACCAAACGCATTCAACTCTAAGTGAACTGAACGCTGGGTGTTAAAATTTTATTACAATTTAAGATTAACTGATTTCTTCGACACCAAGCAGAGAATTTATCGAATACACTTAGAATTTCGGAGTGAAGGTGATTGACACTTTTTGGAGATAAAGTTATAGTGGTATCATCTGCAAACATGGTTATATTATTATATCCCTCTGAGATATGACTGGGCAAATCACTGACGTATACGTTGAACAGCAGCGGTCCCAGTACAGATCCCTGAGGTTCACCATGTTCAACAGGATATATATATATTATATATATATATATATATATATATATATATATATACAAAGAGAAAATTATCATGCGGAGAAAGGTATATAACAAAAATAGGAAAATAATGGGCAAAATCGGCAAAAAGTGGATTCGAGCAGAAAATAGGATAGGTAACCCGAGCGATACGTATTTCTGCTGGTTGGCTTCATCAGGCCCGAAATGAATGCACATATGCAACTACAAGATGGAGAGGAAAAAAAGACACACGAAGTCCACAACAAGAGCCAACCTACACACTGTAGTATAAAATGGTTAGAAGACGGCTATAACCGGCCGCGTGGTTGTGGTTATTTGTCGCCTTGAAAATTCAAGGTCTTCTAGCCATTTTATACTGCAATGTGTTGGCTCTTGTTGTGGACTTCGTGTGTCTTTTTTTCCTCTCCATCTTCGTTTCCTCAGGTTACACCCGTATCCGGATGTGTGGGCATGTGTATCTACTTTTGTAGTTGCATATGTGCATTAATTTCGTGCCTGATGAAGCCAACCCGCAGAAATACGTATCGCTCGGGT